ATCGTATGTGTATTTGAGCATGGGCCACCCAAATATGCAACAACATTCAGGTCGTTCGATGCTTTTCCCTACGCCTATAGGGATCCATGCGCTTCCTTAGCATTTGTCGGCAAACACAGCCGCCGTCGCAGACGCCGGACCTTTCTGTGCGCACGAACCAAGCTGGTATGTGTATTTGAGCATAAGCCACCCGAATATGCGACAACACTCTGTTCGTTCGATGCTTTTCCCTACGCCTATAGGGATCCATGCGCTTCGTTACCATTTGTCGGCAGACACAGCCGTCATCGCAGGCGCCGAACTTTTCTGTGCGCCAGCCGAACCTTAATCTTTGTTAAAGCGGGCAGCCCAAATTGCACAACCTTTGAAAGGTTGACGCGCGGTGGTTTTGTGGTCTTTGATATATATATATATATATATGTATATATATATGTATATAACCCAGCCCGCCCTCGTATTTCGCCCAGGGGGTTGGTTTCGTTCCTGAAAGTCCCAAATTGCAGGCTGTCTTTTTTTCAAACCTTGTAGACACTACACCCTGTTTCTCGCTACACTGAACTGTGCCGAACTGGTGGCAAACCTTGTTATCTTTGATTTGCCTGATTGAGCCATACCGAAACGTAATTTTACCACTGTTAACCGAGATTTTTCCATCTTGACTTCATTATAACCGAACTCACAATGGCGAGAAAGAGGGTGTAGTTCGTCAAGTTTTTAAAGCTTGACCCGCACGGCCCGCAATTTGGGCCGCGGGTTTTAAATTAGAGATGAAGTACGCTTCTATAATTGGGGCTTCGATAGGCATGGTGCCAGGTGCTGGAGAGGGGGGGGAAGTGCTGGTTGCTGTGTTCGTTGCGCAGAATGTTTTCGTCGAGCAGTTACCAGCAGGTTGCGTCTGCGCTGACCCCACCTCGGTTTCTTCCCAGCAAGTTACGGAGCCAGTTCTCAGGGACATCGTCGCCCGGGTTACAGTTCGCAAACATGGGGAGGGGGACGTGGTTGAGGCCGCTGACGAAATCAGTTCACTTCGTCACCGTCGTCATTCAATAGTCTTGAGTCGTCAAGTCAAACTGGTAACCCACCAGGCCCTAGTAAAGGCACTGTTGGGGGAACAATCTGGGAGGACCCCCAAATCTTTTGTCACCGCAATCGCCCGTTGCATTTAGAACCAGCATAGTGTCCTTAGTTACGCTGCAGATTCTACCTTCTCTTGGCCAACCTCGGCACACCTTCCAACAGTCCGCCAGCCTCTTACCCCGCCGTCCCTGTCCGAACTCTTCCATTTATATTCTGCGTTCGCTCCATTCGCCGGAGCGCCTGGGCAGCGGTCTCATTCCATTATTCCTGGTGTGGGCCCATCGGGCGCGGCGCGAATGGGCGACGTGGAGGAGGAGGAGAGCCGGCGGCTGGAGGACTTTTACACGCTGCACGAGGTGCTGGGCACGGGCGGGTTCTCCGTGGTGCAGCGCGCCGAGTCGAAGGAGGACGGCACGGCGGTGGCGGTGAAGACGCTGAAGAAGCACGGCGGGCCGAGCGTGTCGAACGCGCTGGTGGAGAACGAGATCATGGTGATGAACCGCATCGTGGACGAGGTGTCGCCGCACCCCAACGTCATCCACCTGGTGGACGTGTTCGAGGACGCGCACTGCATCCACCTCGTGCTCGAGCTCTGCTCCGGCGGCGAGCTCTTCGACCGCATCGTACAGCAGGAGCGCTACTCCGAGGCGGGCGCCGCGCTCGTCATCCGCCAGATCGCCAACGGGCTGCGCAGCCTGCACGCCGCGCGCATCGCGCACCGCGACCTCAAGCCCGAGAACTGCCTGTTCCTGACGGCGGCGGCCGACGCGCCGCTGAAGATCATGGACTTCGGGCTGAGCTCCATCGAGGGCGAGACCAGCCCGCTCGTGGGCCTCTTCGGCTCCATCGACTACGTCTCGCCCGAAGCGCTCTCCCGCCGCGAGTCGCGCGCCGCGGGGGACATGTGGTCGCTGGGCGTCATCCTCTACATCCTTCTCTGCGGGTGCGCGCGCTGAGGGGGGAAGGGGGAGGGGGATAGAGGTTGGGGGGGGGGGGGGGGGATGCCAGGGTGAGCGCAGGCGCAGGGGCAGGGGCAGGGGCAGGGGCAGGAGCAGGCGCAGGGGCAGGCGCAGGAGCAGGCGCAGGAGCAGGCGCATGGGCAGGCGCAGGGCAGGTGCAGGCTCAAGGGCAGAGGCAGGCGCAGGGGCAAGGGAAGGGGGAAGCGCAGCGGCAAGGGCAGGGGCAGGTGCAGGCGCGGGTGCAGGGGCGGGGTGGGGGGAGGCGGGGGTAGGGGAGGGTGCATGCTGGGGAAGCGGATGCCTTGGCAGAGAGGGTGCATATTCTGTGGGCGGGAGCCCTGGGGGGGGGGAGGAGGGGGTTGCACGCTGTGTGGGTGAACAGGATGCGCGCCCAGGGAAAAAAATGCTGAGTAGGACGGGCTGGGGTGTGGCGGAGTGCAAATGACGCTGGTGCCGGTCATTGAGGCCCCAGCTGTGGGTGGGCGAGGTGCAGAGGTTCATTCGAAATGCCTCATGCCCGGTACCTGATGCACCATGTATGGTGCGTGGCACGTGCGTGGCTGTGTGTGCAGGTACCCGCCTTTCCATGCGCTCAACAACCGTGCCAAGCAGCAACTCATTCTCAACGTCAGTCGCCCCCCCTCCTCCCTGCGCCTCTCATGCCTAATCCGTCCCTTCCTGCTGCAACAAGTCATTCTATGCCCCTATGCCACTGCTATTTTAAGGGGTTCTGAGAACGAGGTGACGTGACGTGGCATGGTGTGGTGTGTGTGTGGTGTGTGGGTGGCAGGCGAGTTTTGACTTTGAGGAGTCGACATGGAGGAGCATATCGCAGTCCGCCAAGCAGCTCGTCACCAGCCTGCTCACCGTCGACCCCTCCAAGCGACCCACCGCCGCTGAGGTAAACCCTTCCCCCAAGTAAGCTTCTCCCCTAAAGAAGCCTAACCCCCTCCTTCGCCACCCATCCATTCCTGCCTCATATCCTCTGTTGGTGTGCCCCATGCCGCGCTTGCATTCCTGACATCTCTCTTCCCTCCCGGGCAACCCTCTCCTCTGGGACGCGCCCTGCCCCCTGTGCGCGCCCCTGGCAGCTGCTGCTGCACCCGTGGGTGAAGGGCGACGCAGCGAGGCAGGAGCCAATGGAGCCGGAGGTGTGCCGGCGCCTGCTCACCTTCAATGCCCGCCGCAAGTTCCGAGCGGCGGCGTATGCGAGCATTGTGAGCAACAAGCTCATGCTGCGCACACGGGCACTGCGGAACATACTGGGTGGATTTGACACGCTCAATGAGACAGAGCTCAAGGACCTTCACACGCACTTCAAGAGAATGTGAGCAGCCATGTGCCTCATGCAAGAGAAGCGTTTTTGAGACGTGTAGCTATGTACTTTCTTTGATCATTTCTGTGTGTCATCTCCCCTCAATTCATATCACCTACTTATCCCACCAACCCACGAGCTCTCTGAACTGAAACCACCTCTTCCCCCCCTTCTCCACATGCCTTGCAGATCGTCGAGTGGCACGAGTGTGACGGTGGCGGAGTTTGAGGACGTGCTGAGGGCCATGGGCATGGGCAGCCTGGTGCCGATGGCTCGGCGGGTGTTTGAGGTGTTTGACAGCGACAAGAACGGCTCCGTCGACATGAGGGAGATCGTCTGCGGCCTCGCTGCCTTCCGCAAGTCCCAAGGCGACGACGCCCTGCGCCTCTGCTTCAAGGTCTGGCTGTCTCTGTCCTTATGCTTCAAGCTGCACCTCTTTCTAGATGTCCTAGTTATTGCGGGTCAAGTGTAAGTGGCGCAGCAATGGAAAGTGAGGGCTGCCTTTGGTGGACCGCTCGTCCATACAGTGTGTGCCCCGTTGTGTGGCTCGGCCTGGGCTCCACAAGAAACATTTTGTGGATAAGATTGTGAGGAAAAATACTCTGAGAGGGTCACTACGTTGAGAGGGTCACTCAGGCTGCCTTGCCTCCATGTCCGCTGTGCCACCCCCCCTCCCCACGGCATGCAGATGTACGATGCAGATGACTCGGGTTTCATATCAAAGGACGAGCTCGCTGCCATGCTCAAGGTGAGGTGGCAGTGATTCTGTTTAAACGGAATCCGTTGAGTAGCTCTTCTCACACGGCAGTGTCTTTGGACACGCCACTGGCAGAAACTGTGGTAGCATTGAGACCAACTGACGTGTTGGTGTCATTGCCATGTTTCGTCATTCCTCACTCAGTCGTTGTTGAAACGCCGACTTACGCATTCTCTGCTCTTCTGCACACATGCATGGCATGGCATGGCACGGCATGGCATGGCATGGCATGGCATGGCATGGCATGGCAGGCGCTACCGGAGGACTATCTGCCGCCGGACATTCTAGAGCCGGGCATACTGGACGAGTTCTTTGACCGCATGGACGCCAACTGTGACGGCCGGCTGAGCTTCGACGAGTTCAAGGCCGCCATCCACGCCGACCACTTCCTCGTCGATGCCCTCCTGCAGCCCGCCCGCGGCGAGTCTCCTGCCGCCCGCCCGCCGCCCAAAGGGGAATCCCCGCTGTTCCGCCAACACCAGTGGTGACACGCGAGCATGCCGCTCTGCTTGCACGCTTTCTTTACCACGCTGGAGAGCTGCTGCTCCCTTAAAAACATTTCTCCTTGAGCCATGTGCCCACTCGGCCGCCCCTTCACTAACATTGGCCTAACAACAGGCCCAACTGATGGGCTGCCACAAACATACAGAATCAGCGTTGTCTTTCGAGGGCTGTTTAGAATCAGTATTTCAACATGGTGGTGGTTCATGCATGGAATTTATATTGAGAAACTGTACAGTACCTATCCATTGTTGTTGTTGTGTCCTTTAGCTTATAAAGAGATCTATGCGCTCGAGGGTGGTGGGGCATCAACACGGCATGAGGTGCATAGGAGGTTGGGTATCAGGCGAGTGTGTTGGTGGGTGCCTAAGATGGGGGCAGATTGCGAGCATTAGTTGGGAGGCAGGGAGCCAGCAGCACGGAGGTGGTCCACGAACTCGTCTATGAGGTACGGCCACGCCCCGCCCTCATCGTACTGCTCCAACTGCCCCTGCGTCAGCTGCGAGGCCCCATGCAAGGGGTTTGGCGAGGGAGAGAGGGAAGTGGGAGCGCGGAAGGGGGATGGATTGGTTGTGCAAGGCGCATGCAGTGGCAGGGGCACATGATGGTGGAGATGGTGCTTCCATGGCAAGGGGGGCAGTCCCCCCAACCAACCAGCAGGGGTGCAGGGGCAGGAAAGGCAGGTGCTGCCAGGTGCAGAGTAGGAAGGGCAGGATAGGGCGGGTGCAGAATAGGCGGCTAGGGGGCAGGAGCAACATACCCGGGAGAACTCAAAGAGCTGCGACCAGGTGTCCTTGGATATGGCCTTGTTGTGCTGCACCTGCTCCCACCCACACACGCCATGTAGTGCGTGCAACCACGCCACACATCATGCAATCATGCAGCCCATGTAATGCCACAAACCATGGTGTTGAGATTCACATATAACAGCCGCTTAACACACGGGGATGTAAGCACAGGGAAGTCTGATGCAGGTTTCCAGAGCCGTCTCTTGATTCACAGATCATTAGCAACCACTGAAGTGCTCCACTCACCATCGCTACTGTCCCACCCTCACCATATCACACCAGCCCAACTCACACCAACGTTTTCACCCTCATTCCCCACAACAGCACTCAAGCCCTCACCACCTCACACCACAGCCCCCCCGTGGCTCACCCTGACGAAGTCACACCAGTGGTCGACGTGTGGCCAGCTGCGGTAGCCCAGCAGCAGCTGCCACATGCCGATGGCCGTGTCCAGCGCCAGCCACTTCTGACCCTGCACGGGTGGGGAAAGGAGAGTTGCCGAGGAATGGTGGTGAGGGGGAGGAAAGCGTCAGTTGGGGCACCTTGCAGAGCGCTGGTGGTGCTGTGTGGAGCAGCAAGAGTGCCGTGTGGAGAAGCGGGATCCCACTGGCCATTCTACTGGACGGACCACGCACGCCGTACTCACCCATGGCTTGCCTCCTCTCACTCACGCTCACACGCCTCCTCTCCCCTGCACCACACCCAACCCCTCTGCTGCCATCACTTCGCCCTGCCCTCCTTTATTCTCTCTCTCACGCGTACCTTTTCCTTGGCCCAGGCGAACGCGAAGTTGTATATTTGACGGAACACGTCTGTGTGAGACGCAGGCCAGCGAAAGCAAGCGGGGTAGTGGGGCGAGAGGGGCGGAGCGTAAAAATATAGGAGCGCAATGAGGCAGTTGAGAGGGATGAGGACGGGAACCGGTGGAGCAGTGGAGGCAGGCAAGTGATGCGACGCCAAGCAGCCAAGAGACTTTCATTGCACCTGCCTGCTACAACGCCTCTTGGCGCGCTACTCACTGCCAATGCATTTGTCTCATCCCTCGCTCATCGGTCCCCTCCCTCTCATCTGTCTGCTCACTCTCGTCTTGTAGCTCGCGGCGGAATGATGGCAGCAACGCCTTCAGCGCCTCCAGTGACGTCACCCTGCCACCATGAGAGATGATGGCGTGGAAAAGGGGAGGTGGGGGGATGGGCAAAGGAAGAGGAGAGGCACATGCGCGGTTGAGTAAGGCGAAGGGGCGCGTGAGGCCCACTGGCAGATTTGACAACCAAAACTGCAGTAAAGTTGCAACGAAGCACACGACAAGCCTTGGTCCGTCCAAAGCAGCATGCAAGAGGGGATCTCGTGCGGTGCATGCATGTCAGAAGGCAAGGGGCTGACCGCAGCGAGCGCAGGCCGGCGGTGAACTCTTGGCGAGAGTACTCGCACATGGTGGCGGCGCCCAGATGCCATGACAGCACCAGCTGCAGGGCACACGGCGCACGGGGCCAGGGGAACAGGTATAAGGCTGGCAGCAGACGTGCACTGCACTGCATGCACGCGGGCTAGAAAGATTCAACCAATAATGCAATGCAGCATCGATAACAGGGTAAAAGAAGCGATACAGGTAGTGTGGGGGGTGAGATAAGCAGGGAGAGGCAGCAGGAGAGAAAGCAGGGCGTGGGCGCTCACCATGACTATGTCCTGTGGCTCCACCTGGTGCCGCCCCCAGGTCAAGGCAAATGTAGGGCCATGGCATTGGGGACGGAATGGCATGGTACGGCACACAGGGAGAGAAGAGAATGTGAGAGGAAGAGTGAGGAGGAGAATAGTGCGCATGGGCACGATGAAACATCACGACTAAGGTGACTGATACAATACTGTGAAAAGGAACTGGGTGCTTGGGAAAGAGAAATGATGAGGTGCAAGCAAGCCGGAAGTAGAAGAGCAGGCATGGCGAGCAGGCACGTGCACGATGGGGCGGGCGCACCTCGAGGTCCTCACACAAGCGAGAGATGCCGTCCACGAGAATCATATCTGAATCCGGATCTGATGCAGCACACAGCACAGGGCGAGTGGGGCGGCACACCAGCAGCACACCGACCAGGATTTAGCTTGCATTGCATTACCGGCCCGGCATAGACAGCAGCTTTGATTGAATACATGAGCGCTCACCTTTATAGCGCAGGAAGAGCTCTTGTATGGGATCCACTGGCGGCTGCTGGGGCGCCATGCCATGCCCCCCTTGCTGCTGGTGATGGTGGTGCGAGCGCCCCGTCAGGGCTGCCAGGAAGCCCCCTCCGCCCCGCGCGGCCATGGGCACACCCCCTGCCTGGTAGCGCGCCAACGCTGGCGCCACCTCCCACTCGCTGCCCTGCAGCGCTGCCACTGCATCGCGCTCACTGCCGCGAAGCATGCAGGCATGCAGGCGCGCATGGGAGGGGGACGGGGAACGGTGAGATGATGAGATGAGAGGAGGCTCACTCACGGGTGACACAAGGCATCTGTGCCATGCGCAGTGCAAATGCAAACCTTTGCTGCTGCCGCTGACAATGCCGCATGTGCTCTGTACCCGCCTGCTCTGCTGGACGTCAAGGTGGCACATTACATTACAAGGGCCAGTACCTCCCACACCTGCATGCCCCATGCAGCCGCCAATCACCCGCCCCACCTTGCCCCAGAGCTGCTCACCTTGCGCCAGTGCTGCTGACGAACTGCTTCACGCGCTCCTTCTGCTGCCGCGTCAGCCGGCTCTGCTGCCGGCCGCCACGCACATGCATGACAGGACGAGTGCATGGGGCATGAAAGGAGGTGCAGGGGGAGGGAAGGAGGGAGCGCGGGGAATGCATTACAGATGGGAGAAGCGGGGGGTGACAGGAAGAGGAGGTACACTATTAGGGAAGCGACCGTTTCGCATCTAGTCAATGCGGCTGCCACGTGGATCAGCGCGTGACGGGGCACGTGCAATCGGAGAAAGAAGCGCGTTCTCTCATGTCAAATCAACTCGTAACCTGCTGCGCCCCCCCACGCGCCTCACCCCCACGCGCCTCACCACATCGTCGTTCTTCCGCGATCTGAACATCCCCGCGCCTCCTGCCTCCCTCCGCGCCTCTGCTCCTCGCCCTTTCGCCTCCGCCCTACGTCCGACCCTTACCACTCGTCCTCCGTGCCCCTCCTTTCCGCGCCTCTACGCCTTTCCCCGCTCCTCACCGCCAGGCTCAGCGCGCTGCGCCCGCACCTTCCGCGCGAAGGACGAGCCTACCTCGCGGAAACCGCGCGACTGCAGCTCGGGGCGCCCGGCGACAACGGCGGCCTGCACCGCGCTCTGAGTCCGTCGGCGGCCCGCCTCGCGTGTGTCGCAACCTTTTGCCCCCCTCTTTGAGGACTCGACTGACGACAGACGACTGACAAATAACGCTGACGGCTGACGGCTAACAGTTGAGGATTGACGGTTGCGATTGTCCGAAGTGGGAAGTGTGACGATGTGGAGGCGTGTGGGTTGAGGAGGTACACTTGTATGGTGCAAGGATTGGGGCTCGTAGCGGACAATATGACGTACAAACTGACTTGCGTGACAAATGGACGTCGCTGGTGGCAGGGTGGTGGAGGGAATGGCACGATGGGCTTGCCAGGCAACTGGCGAGCGGGTTGGACGAAAATTGCGTGCCTACCAGTAACACGGCAACATCTTGTTTCAGCAGTACCACACTTGACCGTAAAAAATTGAGTACCACCCTGTCCCCAATTGGGTCCGGCCGCCAGACCCCAGTCAGACCTGAGAAACTGCGATGCTCCTTCCGGCGGTCATTTACGTACTGGCCTCCCTGGTCCGACCAAGTTAAGCCCCTACGCGTAGAACCAGCACCACGGTCCAACCGTGCTTCCAACAGGGGTCTCCCCGCCGCCAAGCCGACAGCGATCACCGCTCTGATCCGCCGCCGCCTTCCCCCGCGCCTTGCCATGGCGGCGCTGCGCCGCCCGCATGCCGTCCCCCGGCCTGCGCCCGCGCTCTCCCCTGCGCATCCCCCCCAATTCCGTCCATGCTGCCATCGACCCCACGCCTCCCCAACTGTGCGCCACTACCCCCCGTTGCCCGCCCTCTCCGCATCCCCTCGCCGCGCTCCGCCTGGTCCTGCCATCGGCGCGCTTCAGCGGGGAAATGGAACAGCGCAAGACGATGGGGGGTTGCGCGGCGGAGAAATCGCAAGGGTGGGTGCCCAATCGGCGAGGGCGGTTTATTATAACAAGGGGATCCGGGACAGACGAATGCGCCACAAGGGTGGGAAAAATCAGAGCGACAGCGACGAGGCTACTGGGCAGATGGCGACCGACAGTGCGGTTCAGAGGGGCAACGGTTCGGTGCAGACGCCATTGTCTTCTCAGCAGCCAGCCCAGCCGCCCTCAGAACCCACCGCCTCCGACCGCTCGCCCCCATCACCGTCTCTCGCGCACCGCCTGCTCTCGCGGCGACGAGCCCCGCAGGTACAGGGCGAGGGGCGGGGGAAGCGCGCAGCGGGAGGGGGGAACCGCAGGAGAGGCAAAGATAGCAGCAGCGTGGGCGAAGCAGACAGAAGAACTGACGAGCGGCCGCAGTTGCAACGACCTTCAGTATTGCCGTCACTGCTGACGTCAGCACCGGGTGGGGCAGCAGCCCTGAACCGAAGGCTCGTGGAGGCCACGTGCCTTGCTGACGTCATGCAGGTGGTGGCGAATGAGATGGCTCGCCTGCCCCCGCGGCCTGAATGGCACGTGGGGGGTGTAGGTGCAGTGGACAGCGGCACAGGGGTGGGTGGCCACGGGAAAGGGGGGAGGAGGAGCAGGGAAGAGGAGGAGGCAGAGGAGGAGGAGATGGAGGAGGAGAGGAGGGAGACGGAGAGAAGGTGGGAGGAGGCAGCTGCGTGCTCCCTCTTCTCGCCAATCAACGCAGTCACCGCTCTGCACCGCATTGCACGCCACATGCAAGCGGAGGGCATGTCCCCGCCCTCCCGTCTGGCCCTGGCACGCACTCCCCCCCTGCGCCTGCTCGTTTCTGCCGCCCTCCCCGCTGTGTGCGCCGCCCGCTGCAACGCACAGACCCTCTCCAACCTCGCATGGGCGCTCGCACGCATTGGGGGCGCAGGGGGGGGCGCGGGGGACATGGTTGGGGGGGGGAGGGCGGAGGGGGGAGTAGGTGGGCGCGGGGTTGGAGGACGGCGCACATGGGTGTATTCGGAGGAGTTGGATGCGGTGGCAGCGGCAGTGCTGCCCATACAGCACACACTCGCCCCGCAGCACGTGGCCAACATCGCTGCTGCCTTCGCCCTCGCCCGCCACCTCCCCCCACCCGCTCTTCTCCCCGCCCTCGCCCACCAAGCCTGCCTCGCGCTCCCCCCGCTCCCCCCCTCCTTCCCAACCACCCCCGCCCACCCCAGCGGCCGCGCGGTGCTGTCGCCCCACGAGCTGTCCCAGCTGCTGTGGGCCTTCGCCTGCCTGCACCACCCGCTGCCCCCCGCCCTCTCCCGCGCCCTTAACCGTGCAGCTGCCACTTTCTCTCCATCCCCGCTCCCCCACACCTCCCAATCCCCCCCCAAGCAGCGCACCACTGCTTTCTCCCACCCTCCGCCCTGCCCACTGTCGTGCCTGCAGGCGTGGTCGCCCCAGCACGTGGCGAACAGCGTGTGGGCGCTGGCCGTGCTGCAGCACACCCACGGGGCGCTCTTCCATGCGCTCTGGGGGGAGTTGCTCCGCCGCCGGGCGCAGTTCTGTGGAGAGGGGGAGGAGGGGGAGGCGGAGGGGGAGGGGGCGGAAGGGGAACAGAGGGCTAGAGTGGGGGAGCGGCATCTGAGTCAGCTGTTTCAGGTGGCGGTGACACTCAGGGCGGAGGGGGCAGGGGGTGCAGTGGAAGGGGGGCGAGAGGGGCAGGGGGAGGAGGGCGAGCAGGCGCGTGGTGGGGGGAGCGGAGGGGTGAGAAGAGGGCAAGAGGCGGGTGCTGGGGGGGCGGGAAGGGGAGAGGGAAGACACGAGCAGGATGCAGATTGGGTGTGGGAGGAGGGGGCCCGGGTGTGGAGGGCGGAGGCGGCGAGGGAGAAGCAGAAACCGTGCAGCCACTGGGAGGTGGAGCAGGCCCTCTCCGCCCTGGGGCTCGTGGCCTGGCGGGGGGACGAGTGGGAATGGGGAGGAGGGGAGAGAGAGGAGGGTGACGAGGGAGAGGAGGGAGAAGATGGAAGCGAGGGAGGGGAGGCATGTAGGGGGGGCATGGGGTGGGTGTCAGAGTACACATCAGGGGCCGTGTGGCACTACTCCATTGACATCGCTTTGCCAGGGCGCCGCATCGCAGTGGAGGTGGACGGGCCCTCACACTTCACCCGAAACACTCGTGCGCTGCTGCCCTCCTCTGCCTCTTCTCGTCTTGCTTCATCCCATCCCATTCCCCTTTCACCGCCCTGCCTTCAACCTTCCATTGTGTCTCTGTGCTCTTTGCCGTGCCATGTCGTCCGTATCATCCTGACCCTGTCCTCTTCACGCCGCCCTCTGTACCAATCCTGTGCCCACCTGTTGTGGCTGGCAGTGACTCCGCTGGGAGCAACGGTGCTCAAGAGGCGCCATCTGGAGGCGGCTGGATGGACCGTCATCTCCATCCCCTTCTATCATGTACGCATCTCCATCCCCTTGTATCATGTACGCATCTCCATCCCCTTGTATCATGTACGCATCTCCATCCCTTGGCATTGACTCCTCACCCTTGTGTTGTGCCAAGCAGCCACTGGGCGCCTGGTCTGGTCATCCATGGCGTCTCTCCACTGTGCGCCTCATCTTTCACTCTCTGCTGCCCTGCCCTGCCCTGCCCTGCCGTGCCGTGCCGTGCCGTGCCGTGCCGTGCCGTGCCGTGCCGTGCCGTGCCGTGCCGTGCCGTGCCGTGCCGTGCCGTGCCGTGCCGTGCCGTGCCGTGCCGTGCCGTGCCGTGCCGTGCCGTGCCGTGCCGTGCCGTGCCGTGCCGTGCCGTGCCGTGCCGTGCCGTGCCGTGCCGTGCCGTGCCGTGCCGTGCCGTGCCGTGCCGTGCCGTGCCGTGCCGTGCCGTGCCGTGCCGTGCCGTGCCGTGCCGTGCCGTGCCGTGCCGTGCCGTGCCGTGCCGTGCCGTGCCGTGCCGTGCCGTGCCGTGCCGTGCCGTGCCGTGCCGTGCCGTGCCGTGCCGTGCCGTGCCGTGCCGTGCCGTGCCGTGCCGTGCCGTGCCGTGCCGTGCCGTGCCGTGCCGTGCCGTGCCGTGCCGTGCCGTGCCGTGCCGTGCCGTGCCGTGCCGTGCCGTGCCGTGCCGTGCCGTGCCGTGCCGTGCCGTGCCGTGCCGTGCCGTGCCGTGCCGTGCCGTGCCGTGCCGTGCCGTGCCGTGCCGTGCCGTGCCGTGCCGTGCCGTGCCGTGCCGTGCCGTGCCGTGCCGTGCCGTGCCGTGCCGTGCCGTGCCGTGCCGTGCCGTGCCGTGCCGTGCCGTGCCGTGCCGTGCCGTGCCGTGCCGTGCCGTGCCGTGCCGTGCCGTGCCGTGCCGTGCCGTGCCGTGCCGTGCCGTGCCGTGCCGTGCCGTGCCGTGCCGTGCCGTGCCGTGCCGTGCCGTGCCGTGCCGTGCCGTGCCGTGCCGTGCCGTGCCGTGCCGTGCCGTGCCGTGCCGTGCCGTGCCGTGCCGTGCCGTGCCGTGCCGTGCCGTGCCGTGCCGTGCCGTGCCGTGCCGTGCCGTGCCGTGCCGTGCCGTGCCGTGCCGTGCCGTGCCGTGCCGTGCCGTGCCGTGCCGTGCCGTGCCGTGCCGTGCCGTGCCGTGCCGTGCCGTGCCGTGCCGTGCCGTGCCGTGCCGTGCCGTGCCGTGCCGTGCCGTGCCGTGCCGTGCCGTGCCGTGCCGTGCCGTGCCGTGCCGTGCCGTGCCGTGCCGTGCCGTGCCGTGCCGTGCCGTGCCGTGCCGTGCCGTGCCGTGCCGTGCCGTGCCGTGCCGTGCCGTGCCGTGCCGTGCCGTGCCGTGCCGTGCCGTGCCGTGCCGTGCCGTGCCGTGCCGTGCCGTGCCGTGCCGTGCCGTGCCGTGCCGTGCCGTGCCGTGCCGTGCCGTGCCGTGCCGTGCCGTGCCGTGCCGTGCCGTGCCGTGCCGTGCCGTGCCGTGCCGTGCCGTGCCGTGCCGTGCCGTGCCGTGCCGTGCCGTGCCGTGCCGTGCCGTGCCGTGCCGTGCCGTGCCGTGCCGTGCCGTGCCGTGCCGTGCCGTGCCGTGCCGTGCCGTGCCGTGCCGTGCCGTGCCGTGCCGTGCCGTGCCGTGCCGTGCCGTGCCGTGCCGTGCCGTGCCGTGCCGTGCCGTGCCGTGCCGTGCCGTGCCGTGCCGTGCCGTGCCGTGCCGTGCCGTGCCGTGCCGTGCCGTGCCGTGCCGTGCCGTGCCGTGCCGTGCCGTGCCGTGCCGTGCCGTGCCGTGCCGTGCCGTGCCGTGCCGTGCCGTGCCGTGCCGTGCCGTGCCGTGCCGTGCCGTGCCGTGCCGTGCCGTGCCGTGCCGTGCCGTGCCGTGCCGTGCCGTGCCGTGCCGTGCCGTGCCGTGCCGTGCCGTGCCGTGCCGTGCCGTGCCGTGCCGTGCCGTGCCGTGCCGTGCCGTGCCGTGCCGTGCCGTGCCGTGCCGTGCCGTGCCGTGCCGTGCCGTGCCGTGCCGTGCCGTGCCGTGCCGTGCCGTGCCGTGCCGTGCCGTGCCGTGCCGTGCCGTGCCGTGCCGTGCCGTGCCGTGCCGTGCCGTGCCGTGCCGTGCCGTGCCGTGCCGTGCCGTGCCGTGCCGTGCCGTGCCGTGCCGTGCCGTGCCGTGCCGTGCCGTGCCGTGCCGTGCCGTGCCGTGCCGTGCCGTGCCGTGCCGTGCCGTGCCGTGCCGTGCCGTGCCGTGCCGTGCCGTGCCGTGCCGTGCCGTGCCGTGCCGTGCCGTGCCGTGCCGTGCCGTGCCGTGCCGTGCCGTGCCGTGCCGTGCCGTGCCGTGCCGTGCCGTGCCGTGCCGTGCCGTGCCGTGCCGTGCCGTGCCGTGCCGTGCCGTGCCGTGCCGTGCCGTGCCGTGCCGTGCCGTGCCGTGCCGTGCCGTGCCGTGCCGTGCCGTGCCGTGCCGTGCCGTGCCGTGCCGTGCCGTGCCGTGCCGTGCCGTGCCGTGCCGTGCCGTGCCGTGCCGTGCCGTGCCGTGCCGTGCCGTGCCGTGCCGTGCCGTGCCGTGCCGTGCCGTGCCGTGCCGTGCCGTGCCGTGCCGTGCCGTGCCGTGCCGTGCCGTGCCGTGCCGTGCCGTGCCGTGCCGTGCCGTGCCGTGCCGTGCCGTGCCGTGCCGTGCCGTGCCGTGCCGTGCCGTGCCGTGCCGTGCCGTGCCGTGCCGTGCCGTGCCGTGCCGTGCCGTGCCGTGCCGTGCCGTGCCGTGCCGTGCCGTGCCGTGCCGTGCCGTGCCGTGCCGTGCCGTGCCGTGCCGTGCCGTGCCGTGCCGTGCCGTGCCGTGCCGTGCCGTGCCGTGCCGTGCCGTGCCGTGCCGTGCCGTGCCGTGCCGTGCCGTGCCGTGCCGTGCCGTGCCGTGCCGTGCCGTGCCGTGCCGTGCCGTGCCGTGCCGTGCCGTGCCGTGCCGTGCCGTGCCGTGCCGTGCCGTGCCGTGCCGTGCCGTGCCGTGCCGTGCCGTGCCGTGCCGTGCCGTGCCGTGCCGTGCCGTGCCGTGCCGTGCCGTGCCGTGCCGTGCCGTGCCGTGCCGTGCCGTGCCGTGCCGTGCCGTGCCGTGCCGTGCCGTGCCGTGCCGTGCCGTGCCGTGCCGTGCCGTGCCGTGCCGTGCCGTGCCGTGCCGTGCCGTGCCGTGCCGTGCCGTGCCGTGCCGTGCCGTGCCGTGCCGTGCCGTGCCGTGCCGTGCCGTGCCGTGCCGTGCCGTGCCGTGCCGTGCCGTGCCGTGCCGTGCCGTGCCGTGCCGTGCCGTGCCGTGCCGTGCCGTGCCGTGCCGTGCCGTGCCGTGCCGTGCCGTGCCGTGCCGTGCCGTGCCGTGCCGTGCCGTGCCGTGCCGTGCCGTGCCGTGCCGTGCCGTGCCGTGCCGTGCCGTGCCGTGCCGTGCCGTGCCGTGCCGTGCCGTGCCGTGCCGTGCCGTGCCGTGCCGTGCCGTGCCGTGCCGTGCCGTGCCGTGCCGTGCCGTGCCGTGCCGTGCCGTGCCGTGCCGTGCCGTGCCGTGCCGTGCCGTGCCGTGCCGTGCCGTGCCGTGCCGTGCCGTGCCGTGCCGTGCCGTGCCGTGCCGTGCCGTGCCGTGCCGTGCCGTGCCGTGCCGTGCCGTGCCGTGCCGTGCCGTGCCGTGCCGTGCCGTGCCGTGCCGTGCCGTGCCGTGCCGTGCCGTGCCGTGCCGTGCCGTGCCGTGCCGTGCCGTGCCGTGCCGTGCCGTGCCGTGCCGTGCCGTGCCGTGCCGTGCCGTGCCGTGCCGTGCCGTGCCGTGCCGTGCCGTGCCGTGCCGTGCCGTGCCGTGCCGTGCCGTGCCGTGCCGTGCCGTGCCGTGCCGTGCCGTGCCGTGCCGTGCCGTGCCGTGCCGTGCCGTGCCGTGCCGTGCCGTGCCGTGCCGTGCCGTGCCGTGCCGTGCCGTGCCGTGCCGTGCCGTGCCGTGCCGTGCCGTGCCGTGCCGTGCCGTGCCGTGCCGTGCCGTGCCGTGCCGTGCCGTGCCGTGCCGTGCCGTGCCGTGCCGTGCCGTGCCGTGCCGTGCCGTGCCGTGCCGTGCCGTGCCGTGCCGTGCCGTGCCGTGCCGTGCCGTGCCGTGCCGTGCCGTGCCGTGCCGTGCCGTGCCGTGCCGTGCCGTGCCGTGCCGTGCCGTGCCGTGCCGTGCCGTGCCGTGCCGTGCCGTGCCGTGCCGTGCCGTGCCGTGCCGTGCCGTGCCGTGCCGTGCCGTGCCGTGCCGTGCCGTGCCGTGCCGTGCCGTGCCGTGCCGTGCCGTGCCGTGCCGTGCCGTGCCGTGCCGTGCCGTGCCGTGCCGTGCCGTGCCGTGCCGTGCCGTGCCGTGCCGTGCCGTGCCGTGCCGTGCCGTGCCGTGCCGTGCCGTGCCGTGCCGTGCCGTGCCGTGCCGTGCCGTGCCGTGCCGTGCCGTGCCGTGCCGTGCCGTGCCGTGCCGTGCCGTGCCGTGCCGTGCCGTGCCGTGCCGTGCGCTGCAGTGGAACCAGCTGGCAGGTGAAGCAGAGCAGCAAGACTACTTGGAGCGTGCCCTCTCTCGCCATGTCGATCACTTCACTACGTTTCATGTTCACCGTTAATAAGTTCCACAAGGATTTATTTCATCAATATTAGATACACATACAGAAGCAGAGAGCGGCAGGCACTAGACTCATATGGAAGTCGGAGCAGTGCAGTGAAAGGAGCCCTGCTCATCACAGCACGGTAGTCTGCAGCAGCCTTTACCAGGCGGTGTTGGCCGAGGTGGGGCAGGGCAGGGAGCATCAGCGGAGTGCAAGAGTGCCAGAGAAGACGAGGTCAGCGGGGCCGGTCATGTGCACACGGTTGTCCTCCTCCCTCCAATCGATCTCCAGCGGACCCCCCGGCAGATGCACCAAGCAGCTCTGGGAGGCGCAGCAGGGGGGAGCGGGAGGGAGAGAG